CCCTTATAAGATACCTATAGTGTACATTTGTTCGCGTTGATTCTGTGTTGCTTCCGTGCAATATAAAAATAACTTGCTATGAGTTCGTACAACTAGACCCATTGGTAGAATCTTTGTAACAAGTTCTTAATGACGAAATAATTTTCCTAATAATCTAACAAAAATTGATCGTTATTTAGGAGTACTAAAGCTCCAAAGCGTGATTAAGCACTAATGCCTTAGGGCAATAACTTGACAGCAAAAACCAGGTACCAAAAATAAGTCTTAATCCAATCCTATATTCAAGGCATTTTTAAATGCCTGTGAGTATCATCCATTACCTCAAACAATATTGTATTATTCAGTAAATATTACACTCGATTCACTGGTTTCACTAATTTCATGAAACACACACATATTGTACGTACAAAAATATATATTCAGTTACTAGTTTTAAAAAACTTAGTAAAAGATAACATAAATACTTTCGTCCTCAATGTAAAAATAGTAGTCTACCTTTGAATTGCTTAACAAAAATTAATTTACAAAATGTACAGCATTTGCCGAATAATACAATTATAAATTTCTTCTCCCTCTCTTTTCTCGTCTACAATCATATTAAAAATAATATATGTAGGATAAAATTCCATCGCATTTAAACTCTGCGGTCCTCTTCAGTGTAACACTTATTTCTTACACTGTGTACTATGCTCAAACACGTAATGATTATAAAACTAGCAGCTGCTATGAAGTGTCACTTAAAGGAAAGTTAGAAGGACGGAAAATCATTCAACGTTTACGTGAATTTTACAGCTAAACACACACATAAGTACAATGTCCTATTAATAATATAGACATCATGACTTTGTAAGAAGCAAATATCATTGACTATCGTGATTGTACTGCGCAAACCGATTTATCAATTATTTCTATGATGTCCCGGAAACGGTGGGCTCACACCCAAAATACCGATAAGGTCTCCTCGCTGAGCAACATAAACTAAACAATACATACCGGGCGTTCGAAGGGCCGTGTCGCTGAAATAAATCCGCTCGGTGATCGCGTTAGGTTCTACTGAAACCGATGAAGACTTACCTACAATAAATTCTCATTATAGATCATAAGAAATAATTATTTTCTATGTTTCAAATAATTATCAAGTCTTACCTCGGCCTACGTATTCATAAACGATATATTCGTCCAGGCCGGAAAATCCATTTTGAAACAGACCCACCCAATCACCACTAGCTGTCCTCGCATCTCCTAGTAGTCTATACGATACAGAATTCTCTTCATCTATAAACCAGGATGAAACAGGTTGGAACTCCACACCGTGGTCTTCTATACTTGGTCTGATCTACGAATTTCATGAAAATTAATCAAGTCGCCGTTCATTAAGTATTGTTCAGTTTTCGATATTTGCTGTGCTCAATAAAAAAGACTTACAACAATGTCAAATTCTCCTGTAACAGGCTTGTGGTCTGATAATATATAATCAGGATAACTTTTATAATTATGCTGAATGATATTCAACTTGATATCATCATAAACGTCTGTGTTTACTTTATATAAGAGCCGATCAGTCCATGACGGTCGTCGCCTACATAAACAGTTCTTGATTAGAAGAAAGGAGAGATATTAAGAGATTATTAAGAGCATAAAGAACTTGTCTTACTTGAGATCATATTCTTGAGATGAAAATTCGAATTTATAAGTAGGTGGGAATGTAATAGAATTTTCAGTAAATTCGGTAAATGCTTCACCTTTCTCCATCACCATTTTTAATTGATCTCTAGCTAACAAGGTTCTTAATTGATTCTTTTTAACCATCGAATCAATCTCTGTGGCAGTTAAGTCCTCTCCATGTAGCCGAAAATTTAGATCACCAATCCAAAATACATAACTGCGGAGTAAAACATTAACAAGAGTGTATAGCTTCATAAATAAATTAAAAACAGCACAAAAAGCGAATACTAACTCGTGAAATAATATTTTTGAAGTATCAGAATTGCTAAAGCTATGACTTGTGAGTATTGTATTATAGTCTGCAATTCTGTCTTCCAATAAATGGTCGTGTGGTGTCAAGTGTGTGTTCACTATACACATATTAATTCCATATATATTTAATCTTACACTCACTGCACCTTTATTACCCTGGAACAAAAATACATTCTTTTTGTTAATCAAAATTTAAGTGGACTTTCTATATTATTAATGTCCATACTTACCCACATTCCTCCACATCCTGTTCGCGTATATTGAGCCTCTATTAATCTTAAATGTGTCATGTGCTTCCTTAAGCAAAAGACGTTTAAAACAAGACCCTGTAAGCGTTGTGTACGTATTTTTACGTAGTCATGTTTCTTCAATACTTCTCTGTAAAAATTGCATAATATACAAACTGTATTTCGAGTGCAAACAGATGCAGCAAATAACTTTCAGAAATTTAATTACTAGTGTGTACACTATTAAGTTTGCTGCTTTAATATTTGTTATCCTCATATGCAAACCTAAAAGCTTTGGTCCATGGATCTTCGAAGAACATATCCATTACCATGTTTTGTGGTTGGGCTTTGACTTCCTGTAGCCTAATATTATTTATAAAATTAATCAGTTTTTATAATATAACAAGCGCATAAAATATGATATATTTACATACCCAACCACGTAAAAATCTGGGAGTGTTCTTGTTTCATTAATATCCAGTAATGTACATAAATCTTGATCTGGATATTTTGTTGCTACATTCCATGTAACAAAATAGATCCTAAGGTACACATACAATTTGTTACCATTCAAATTATCTGTTGTTAAATACAGTAAATAACAAATAATATACGAAGAGACAGAAAACAGTGAATATTCTAAATTTGACATACAAATTTGGATACATAATTTAAATAATACACATAAGATGTTAATTACAAATGTCAGTTTTACTGAGAAGACAAAAATATTGTACAGGTACAAGATGAACATACACATATATGGATATATAGGCAGATCGAACTTCCACTCACCTAAGATATTTCAACTTGTTAGCCATTTCTAGAACGAGACAACAAAAATTGTCAGAAAATGTCACAAACAATTTTATTCTAACTTAGAGTCGGCAGTCAGGTTATACCACTGGGGTGACTGTGCAGTGTTTTGCAAGCATAATTTTCAGGTTAACATACGATGTAACAAGTGTCAACGATCGATCAAGTGATTTTTTAGCTTTAAGCTATTATACGGTGTTAATGTACAACGGAGAGAATCACGAAAACTACGTTACTTTTCTATTAGAATGGATGAAAACAACCGTGCAAAGAACCATATCATTGACAACTAAAAAGAAAGTACGTAACTGTAGAATACGACAATACGATACGATGATACGATCCCTACTCCAAGATCCCAGCCACGTGACGTCAAACTGGCATTTGACAACCTGTCGTCTGCGCTTACTGTCACTATTACGCTGTCATAATAATAACACATTAACCGCAGACTAACAATTGACAGTTTTGTCCGCTTACTTACTTCAACAATTATCTATAATTCCCTTTCTTTCTACATACCAAATCCTGTGTGACGAGGCACAATACCTTGCGATAAGTTTCTATACCCTGAGATAAGAGTACTGGGCTGGGCCTTGGCCTCAGTCTCTGCGTATGCATTAGAAACAGAGGGAAGAGATAGAAAAATAAAACGGATACAAAAATGATACAAAATTTTTATTAAAAATGAGTCGTAGCTTTATTAAAATTTCTCGCGAAATTCGCCTTCAGTTGTTACAGTTCGATGTGTTATCGAAATAATCGAGCGTGATTCAACTAGAGAGAATAAAGTATTTTTCATAACGCTCACACATGATATATATTTTTTACAATAACAAGAGAAACAAACGTCCGGATCAGAAAGTCCGTTGTTTTGAAGATATCTAATCTAAGAATGTGAAAAAGCAGATTCTTTATTGACTTCACGGACTTTTGTTCGAAGCGAGATGTCATTTCCGGGTTAATTATCAATACATCATCCCGGGATGAGTTGCTCGTTGAAAAAATACATTCGGGTTCGCTGATAAAGTTGTATACAAGTTTCCCGTGTCTTCTGGCCTTAGATACATGCCTGGTGGTAAGACGAATGTCTCCATCGGACCATGAACGTCTGTAAGATTATTCCGTATTAATACAATCCATTTATTCTCCAGCCAACAGCTTTATAACGCTGTTAATAATTTAGTATGTTGCAAGCTACTTATTTAAATGAGAATGTAGTGTTCTAATTTTATTTCCCCTCCTAACTAAGTTTTTTTTAAATATAATTGGGAGGTCGGACAATTGGCTTGAATTTTATTATCTACGTTTTCGCTCTACTGAGAAACTCGTTATTAATTTCCGGTAACGACAGCACCGAATATCCGTTTATTTTTTCCGGTCGTGTTAGCCAGCAGACCGTAAGTTTATTGATAAGCGTATGTTTGTTCGTGCACTTGAATTTCTCATCTGCTGCAGATACCTTTTGAGACGTTCGAAAATAAAATATTGACAGAAAATCTTTATTGCGGCGTTAATAGACTATAAAACAGTAAATGCAGCCACGTTTCGCAGTAGGTCATTCCGATCGTAAACTTTTAATTACAAGAAAGTAAATCTTATTGTTTTTTTTTTTTAAATCAAACGGTAAAACGACCGTCTTTAGTCAGTTGCGTGGGAACTTTATGACGTGCAATAACAATTTAGCTTGATTAAAAATTGTCGATCCGATTACGAAGGGGCGAGGAAATGTCGTAACTTGAGTAATTCTCTGGGAAATAAAATCAAGGAGGAGAACGTTTCTCACAAAATCTCGGTTCACATTTTTATGCAGCGCCGTCGGCTGGTTTATAGACTTAATCGGAAGGTTCTAAAATGATGTACTGAAATATTACGATAACTACAACCGGTGTTATAAATGAGCGAATAGTTTATGCCCGGCGGGATAGTAACCGCCAGTTCTCGATGTGCGTGTGGAAGATTCCACGCCCTACTCGTAATAATAGGAATTACGGTAAAGAGACGTACATACATATATACATACATACTACGATATTAACAGTTATTTGAAATATTTGCCACTTGCATCGAAAGTTAAGGGACGAAAGAATTTTTGTTTTCGATTTTGCTTGATATGATAACATCTTTTTTGATATCGCGAAAATGTACGTATCAGATTTACATATCTAATCTTACGAGGCTACGTTGAACATGTCACATGATTTACTCTGCCCGCAAGTTCGTCAAAATATTCGATTAGCCACCAGCAACGAGTCACCGATTAACAAGAGTCATCTGATCTAACGGGACCCGTTTCCCCTACCAGTTTAATTCCCAGAGAAGCGCTTGACCTCAGTCTCGAAACTTTCTCGTTGTCCGCGTTACTAGTTGGACATTTTTCCTCCCTTTCGTTCGTTCCTCGAAGTGAAGGTCGATAGAGGCGATGCCGTAACGGAGAAAAAGTTTTGGAAGGGGTATTCATCGGAACAAATTCAAGAATTTTCAGAACTAGTTTAACTCATTTACATTTACGGTATAGTGGGATTTAAACATGAGAGCAAACTTCTCTACCGCGACGAATTTTGTTGACACTAAACTCGTACATTAATTTTATAACACGTGTTAATGTTTCATAATTAACTGGTTGATACATAACTGGCTTTTAACAATACTTACCGTCGGAATATATCGGACTTCCACCATGCCTGCAAGCGGTGCATCCGGGAATAGCGGAAGAGACTAATGCCACGCGATCTGCAATTCAAGAATGCGCCATGATATTAATATTAAGAACAGTAACATGTATTACGGATAATTTTGAGTGTATAAGAAAACGAAGAAACGCTGAAAGTGGAACAGCGGCTAAATGAAGTAAAATAAATGACAAATGCGTATACGAAAAACATGGGTGAAATTTGCTTGACCAGTAAAATAAACATAAAATGGTGAAACCACTTTATGTTGGTCAATTTCACTGTTTGGAAAGCATGCTTACAATAAAGAAACGACACATGGAGAATAAAACTTTACACGCGAGTCTAAATTATACATATTTATTTATACTTTGCAAATATGAATCACTGATGTGTTGAATCTAATTAAGTATGATCAGCTACTAATGAGTCATTAATTAATCGTCTGATCGCGATTTCTTAATTGCTGAAAACATTTTCAATTAGATTTAGAAGGAATATGTGAAAAACATGAGAGAGAATGATTGTACCACCACTGTGATAATGCATCTTCCTCTTCAATGAAGCCTCCGCTGGCTTGAAATGGAAAAACGAAGGCGAGTAACCGCTGCCAGGAAGCGAGCTGAGAGCATCGTCTCGATCACGAATCACTGTTGCGGTGGCTTCGCGGCCGAGGGCAGCTAACTGCCGACCCTTCGGCAGGAACATCGTCAGGAACACGAGAAGGGAAGTAGTTAATAAACCATAAGCGAGCCATGCTTCTCTGTCGCTCTCTGTCGAGGCTGCCAGAGAGCCGATCGCGCTCGATATCCAAATCGGAAGCGATAAACCAACAGCCAGTCCAATAAACGCCGCTTCCCGATTGTTATCCCGGATGCCGCGTGCTCGGACCGCTAAACAAACTACTGCAACAAGCAGTGCCCCGGGATACCTGAAATCGAATCGTCGAATCGTCTATTCATACGCTGTTTCCATAGGCACCCAACAAAGTTAAATTTGAACAACTCTAGAAAGATTGAGAATTGAGTTTCTTACAAAAATTATCGAAACATTCTATTCAAACATGATACACAATGCTTTCATCTGACTTCAATTATTCTCGTGTCGCTACGTTCGAGAAGACTTATTTAGGGGTTGCGTTATTTTTTACTTATCAGATATGATATCTATCTTATTGTTTATTATCAGGATGTATACCAGATATTTTTTATTATCAGATATAATATCTGTCGGTGGAAGGGTTACATTTCAAAAGTTTACCCGAGGGAAGCCACTATCTGTCCGAGAGGAGTTTTGCAACTGGGCATTGGAGTATTTTGCCCTGTATTTTGTACCTGGATCACCGCGAGTGGTTCACCGTAAAACCATTGTCCAATGATAGCTACCTGCACGAGCACGGCGAAGCCCAATACCAGAGCCTGTAACAATAACAATAAATGCCTTCCTTAATACCCAATGGGTTACCAGACTGCTCATGTTTATAGATTTATAGGAAATTTCACGCAAAAATGTGTAACGCGTTCGAAGTAAAGTACACGTTGTCGACTTGCGTTTAACATCCATTTCTTTAGACTATAGACTCTATGGTCTATTTGTAAAAAATATGAATGAGAACCCATATCCATACACGTCTGTAATCCACGGTCGTAAGCAGAATTTCACAACACAATTTAAAAAGATATGCGTTGATCGATTAACGATAGAAAGCCGTAATTACCGCGATGCCATTGCTAATTAACATTCTTAACGCTCGTCCGTCATACTGTAATTCATTGACGTTCGCAAGCAGTTCCTTATGATAGCCATCGTTCTATTAAACGAGCGTGATTGTGAATGAAAAATGATTACATAAGGGGGCTATATACGCCGATTTTTCTAACAAGTTATTTCATAAACTGGTTTTTGTTCTTATCATCGCTTCCTCTTAATGCGTATAATCACACGTACAGATGACAAGCGACAAAAAAGAAGAGAGAGAGAGAGAGAGAACCCGTCGAGTCCGTTAGGCGAGGTAGAAAATCGTCGGGGATATATTAATGTTATTCAACGCAGCACCAACGGCAATACGCGTCTTTAACGAGCGTAACAGCTGCACCCGTTGCTATTAGTAGCGGGAGTTACTACTCGCGTTAGTTTTCATTCAGATCCTGTCCCGCGCGTACAAATAGTCGATCTCGATCGACATCCGGATCTCCGACACGCGGCCGAAATAAGAAAAATCACGGTTGCATCCTTCCCTCGCCAAGAGTCGTCCCACGAGTTTCTGCGGACCGCTTTTCTAAAGCTGTGCTCACACGGGAACAAAAACTTTCGATTGCGTTCCGATTGCTCGCACTGTCATTCATTTAGTTTATATTAATATTCGTTTCATCTCTCTGGACTTGCATGTATCCTAATTACGCTTTCTTAATTAGGAAACAATTCCGTCACACCTTAAGCACTTAATTAAGCAACATGAAATCAGAAAAAAGAAATATTGTTCTAACTTTTATCGTGTATACATTTACTTTCTCAATAATTTGTTTCTTTTTGAATACATTAAAAAAACGCGTTGGAGTGTATTATTTAAATTAATTGCAGACGTAGTATTAATCTAGCAGTTAGTTATATCTCCTAGATAAGACACTTCATCTGTAAAGGACCGTGTAATGCGTTAGTTAACGCTTTCGTATTATACGATACGTGAGGAAACTTACTTGATAGGGTGCTGGTAAATAAACGCCGCTATTTAGTGAAAGCAGGAACACGCATTTAACCAATAGGGCAGCGAAGACAAGCGCGGCGGGTAAACCGACTAATCGAAACGCAGCGCAGGATAAAGGGTTTTGACTGAGAGATGCTGCTGCGGATAGTCCTGCCAGAAGGAAGAGGCCTAAGAGCAAAGCTTGTCCCAGAAACAAATGCCGTCTGTTCGGTGCAGTTACCCTTGCCTGGAAAACATTCAATTTCCAAACGATTAATTAGAAACATTGTCATTCAATTTGCCGTGTCTAATTTGAAATTTATGCCTCATACGAAAATCATGTTAATAACAGTTTTAGAAAGGTAATTTAGAGTGCGCAGAATTTTCTGTGAAAGATATTCTGGGAAAATAATGTACACAGCAATGCTTCACGCAAGATCATCAGCATGCTCTAATTTTTTCCTCGGCGAGGAAAATCTCGATATGGCAATCAGAAAGTACACTTCGAACGTGTACGTATGCACGTGTTTTCAAGGCTGACTCTCATTATTGTTTCCCCGTGTCTGTTCAACTAATTTTCGTCAAACAAGACAGAAACTAAACTGTTCGTAGAATGAATTATGTTGTTACGTGCCGTGATTTAATTACGATTTGATCAAAGATAATTGAAAGAGTTAGTTTCGCTAATTAGAATAAATTAATAACACAGACGTGCTTCTCTTTTGTTCGAATATACGCGATAAGCAATGTTTCCTGCACGTAAATTAATTTTACTGACATGCGCTAACGTTAAGTTTGATTAGAATTTACTAGTAAAAAAGGAAATAGGACGTCTTTCTGTGTTAAACGCATTTTAAATTTAACGCGACAGTAATTAACTTTCGGACATTCAGCTGCGTGTAACAATGCTATTAAAGACAGCGTAAACATCAAGTTTCCTATCAGAGAGGTTTCCCTGGCGGCTCCTGTTCAATGGAGTGTATCGATATCGAACGGACGACACGGCCAGGAGAAATGGTTAGCCGACATGCAAACTAGGCCTAGGTCTCGGCGAAATTGCGAGCGTGCCGGTTATTGGAGCTTGTCGAGATACGAACGAAGACAATTACTATAGATTCTTGTGCAGTTTATACTTTGCCACGTGCTCGAACGAAAAAAGAAAAAGATAACCATTCCTTCCTAAGCTCTATTTATCCGACGCTTCCTCAATTTCTAATTACGGATGATCATACGACCAAGGAAAACGCGATTTCGATTCGTACCATTGAACGCGACCGGTCCCAATCGGCAAGTCCTTCTCGTATTCTCTTCGTCTTGTCGCAACTACGTTTGCGCTCCACTTCCGGTCGTAAAACTGTTCAAGTTGTAAATTCAGTGTCACCAAGACTTTTCCATTTGCATTTTAATACGGTATTTCCATAAATTTACTCTTACGCACGAAAGTTCACCAAGAATATTGACACGACGCAAATTCGAATGTAAGTACAAGTAACAGTTGGCTGATGGAATATTTTATCTTTTTCACGGTCTTTTTATCGTCTTTAGTGTATCAAGCATAAATTAATTTGGGAACGAAACGATCGGTCGAGATCGGTTTGAAAGAGGTGGTAAAGGTAAACGAACCGACCTTGAGCAGCACGAAAACCTCGAAGCCAGCCATGAGGAGCATCGTAGCCGCGCTGAGGGCCGCCAGAGGAAGAGCCCAGGGTCGTTGCCTGAGCAAGGACCTCGAATACGGTCGTGTATCGGCCTCGATCTCTTGGCTCTTCTTACCAGGGGGCATTTTGAACACCGAAACCGTCCGGTTCGGCGCTGGGACGCTGATGACACTGGCCACGCTGGCCAGACCGTTCTTGTCCAACGCCACGTCGCTTGGTATCAGAAAGAATTCCGTCGACAACTCGTAGTCCTTCGAGGCCTGGGCTCGCGTCGCCGTAGTTCCGGTTGGACCGAGCCAACTCGCCGTGGCCCACGACAGGATAATCGGACTCAGTCTCATCGCGTCATTCGTGCTTCCGTGGTTATCCCTGTGTGTACGACCTCTCCTTCCTTATTTTTTCCCTTTTCTTCTTCTTCTTCTTTTTTCACTCCAAGTTTCTGTAGCGTCACCGGGACATGCACCGTTTCCTGCGTAAGCGCATCCTTATGCGCCCGCCTCTCTTCCCCCGAGGAATGGCACACCTGTAATCACGATTCGTCCTGGTAATTAAAACACGTTGGTTCATTCGTTGATTCGTGGCAAAAATAAATACCCCGGCATTGACGAATGGAAATGGATACTGAAAGCGATTGAGTTAATAAAGTTGCGACTTCACTTTTCGTTACATACCCTATGCAAAGGGTAGAAGCTCTAATCACGTTTCTCTAAGTAATGTAAATTATGAAATCAATAGTGAAAGTCAGAGAGCCTGAGATTCTTCGAAATCTGCAATTGCTTCAATTTTCGTCTGAGCGTGTCGTACTTGATTCAATTTTCGTTCGAAATTCGATGTACCTCTTCTCCTGCATTTGGAATAATGGCCATTATCTCGCATTCGCAAACATTTTCTGTAAGAGTTTCGTTTACTGACAGAACCAAACAACCGGCGATCTATTCCGCGCGCGAGCCAAGCATGACCAACCCGCAGGCATTCACGGAGTCTAACACCATTAATTATTATGAACAGGGTCAGCCGTAAGTAGAGTGAAGCATGGGCCGAGTGAGTCCAGAGCAAAACCATAAAAACAGGTATCATAGTGCACGGCACTGCGATCGATTCGTCGCTTAATCAAGCAACAAATATAAGCTATAGGTAGAACAGGGTATTAAATCGTAATATTATAATCGAACCTTCTAACCGTCGATCATTCTCTTCTATATTTCGATGATACGTGCATCGTACACATTCTTCCTCGCTTTTCGTTCGCGTTTCCCTTATTTGTCTGAACTAACAATGCCGTGGAGTAGCGAGGACACAACCGCGGAACGTTTTTAAAAATCTCTTACTCCTCGGGGAACGTGTTCCGGTTCGAACGATTCGAAGGTCAACGAACACTGTCGCGAGACTCTTCGACGTTAAGTGAAATTTCTGTCAGAGCCTCATGGAACCGAGTCTAGCGGCGAAGGAAGTCGGCGGAGTGGCGTTACGAAGCGCGCGTTGTGAGAACCGAACTCTGACTAAACCCGACGAGTATTCTCGAGGGAGAAACTGGAAGCAGACTGGAGTTCCGTTCCGGAGGTGAAGCCTATCCGTTACGGAGGAATCAGGGAGATGGTGATGACGATGCTGAGGTGGTAGTGGCACATATACTACAGGAGCGGATCTGTGCAAACCTTTCGACAGTAGGTTTCCTTTACCTATCGAATCGACACTATTGTGACCAGAGTCAAGACTGTACGTATGTACATATGCATAATTTCTATAAATGTTTGGATGCTTGACGAAAATATAATTACACAAGGCTTAACTTAAATTTGACATTGTCGTAAAACTGTCATGGTTGCATGATTCAAATGCAAAAGCATTTAGAGAAGTTGCAAAACGATTGAAACTTAATATACCCGTGATAAAATACCAGGTTTAATGATGGTAGTAAGGAAGGTATGATTTTACATAGCGACGGAAAAATCGAGAGTTTCGTCTTGTTGAATACTAATTAGGTAGCTATTATTGCGTACGAGTCGATTCTATCGAAAGGTAGGTTCGATCTGATCCGCCCCTGACAAGACGAGAGAAGGATCGAGATGTGAAAGGAAGAAAAAGGAAGAAGCTGGTCCTCCGACGACGTCGAGGACCGGACCCGGCCACGCATTTACATATCGTACGTGTAATAACCTCGAAAAAGTGTTAACAATGGTCCTGGAATCCACCTTTGCGAAGGTGAAGAAGAAAAGGGAAAAGCTCGTAGAACAACGCGTAAGGACGAGGAACAATTGTAGAGAGATGTTTAACGAGTTTCTTGCAATAACTTGCGGAAGATGAAAAGAAAAAAATATTGTAATGGAAACCCATACAACTTTAATAAGTAAATGGTCGTAAATAATTCTCTAAAATAAAAGTGGAATGTCTTTACAACAATTACATACGTACGTAAATTCATGTTTTTGTAATAACTACAGAAAATGAAATGTCAATGTAATTTATCCGATAAATACTGTTCAGTGCTGATAAATAATTTTCTTCCGTTTGTTCGTTCTGCAATGTCGGCGCGAGCGGTGGAAATAATTTACCTTGGCCCAGAAATGGCTTATAAAATTATTCGTTGCCGGTGAAAGTGATAAGAGGGAAGACTTCCTTTCTAGATCTAAGCAGCCAGTCTTGTTTCGGTCCTCCTGCTAGGTAACATGTAGGCGGCTCGGGCGTCACAGATCAATGATCGTTTGCGCGCATACGACACGCTCGGTAGCTGTACGCAATCAATCCCTTGCAACCAACGGTTCAATGAACCCTTTGCTTCAAAAACCGGACAAACCGTTTCCACGTTCAGTTCGGCTGGCTCAACTTTCCTGATAGTAAGCACAAACGCGTGTCTTACACTCCTCCGACTCTCCGAGAATGTCAAAATTCAGGCAGATGTTTACTACCTGATTATTTTAGTATGATTTAGTGGAGTGTATTTTACTTTAACTTAACGACACTCCATGTACATAACTTTGTCTCATGTAACGATAAAAAATATTGCCTGTCGCTTTTTCTACCGAATTCCATTCCCCGGTGATAATTGCCGTACAGTTACACACGGTATTGTTAGAAACAGGATTTACATTCTTCTGTTCCGCGATCGAGGTTCGCTTTTACTCGGTGAAACGTCTTAACTCAGAGAAGGGAAAAAATTCCTAGAACAATGATCGCTGTCAAAAATGTCGTTACAACGAAAATCCTTACCCGGACGGTGCGTTACAACAAATGCGTGCGATGTACAATGTCTCTCGCAATGGCCACACCCGGTCACTTTCTCCGCCAAAGCCAAAGTCATTCTTGTACCGTAAGTTACTATGCTTTAATGACGCAAGCTGCCCACGCTCCCGATCTAATGCGAAACACGGTGATCCGCTTTCCTTCTGGCCACGTCGCGTCGCGTCGCCTCGGCCAACCGTGGAATGTAATTTACAAGCCGCAGCGAACGAGAAAAAAGGATAATTAAGACGAGACTCTTTAATGGCAAAAAGCGGAAGATCGAGTCGTATCACGGCCCTGACCGAATTTCTCTGCACTTGAACGTCAATCCTCGAGAATACCATTGCACAATTGTTATATCAAACACTTAGTTTGTATTCGTAATCACTAGACTGCTGATTTTATGCATTCATGGAAAAATTAACTGTGCATCTACTGAAATATACGATATCTCAAAAGCTACGCGCATATCACAATGTGTAATGATGAAAGAAGTTTCGGTCTAAAACACATTTCTCAAATTGATATCCTATTTTATGTTGCATAAAAGTCCGCAAACTATAATTATATAAATTATTGTCAAGCAGAGAGAAATTATGTAACTTCACGCGGAGCATAGTGTATACCATATACAAAACTACTGACACATTATATTAAACACACAATTCGGCAGAAGTGTAGTAGCTAGTTCAGAAGGAGGAAAGGACGGTAATGGATGAATTAAAAGATATTTGATAAACTGATGTATATAAGTTTGAAAGTGTCTGCATCGAGAATTACCTCTATGCGAAAGAAGTTGACGAGTGCAGTGAACGCAAAATTCTTTCCTCCACCCAAGGAATCCTAAATGATGCGGAGCACCGAACTCTCGGTATCGCGGCACAAGAGAGGAGAGAAGTCGCTTGCAACCGGTTTCGACAAACTAAAGCTAAATAAAGTCATGTACCGGCGCGAACGAAGGAAATCGTCCTGCTCCATAATTGCGTCCCTCGAAAAACTTTCGGTCTTCGCTCGCGTAACGATCATTATTCGTCGCGTAATATTTACGAAGCACCGATCCAATTATTCACCGGGATGTCCATCCGCATGATTGCCGTGATTGCCTCCGACGTGTATTTTCCATGTTATAATTGCGTACATTGTTTCATGTAGGCCAAAAAGAGCATTTTGTACAAAAGCAGATGTGCGATGACGCACAATACGTTTATTTAGTTAAAGTTGCAGCATAATAAAGTTGATCTTTTTAAAAGATTAATTTGTCTTCTGGGAATAGTAATGCTGTTGATTGTTGGCCCCTCGAGCATATGTTGCAAATTTAAATACGAAGGGCGTATTTCATATTCGAGGATTAATTGTCAGAGAACAAGTTCCCAGAACAATTAATAACAATTCAGCCAAGTGATGCCCGTGATCGATCAAGGAGCAAACATTCTTTCGCGACGCAAATCCCCCACCTCATCTACAGTTCGCCCCGTCGAGTTTGATACGTTGATAAGTCGACCCTTCCACGGCGATTCATTTGAATATAAATCCGGCTGTCTACACACGTTGGTAGCCTCACGAGCGAAGAGCAGAGGTGATGGTACCGTGGGGATACGGAGAGCCAGAAGGTGGACCGAAACGAGACGAACGAAGAAGAGGAGGAAGGGAAAAGAGACGAACGAAGAAGAGGAGGAAGGGAAAAGAGACGAAACGAAGAATTCTTTTTTCGTTGTACATTGTAACCGCAAACCGCGGTGGTCGGCCATGCAAGATATTTTTTATTCACCTTATTTTGGGTTCCTCCGCGCGCCCACATTTTTTTTTATCCCATTTCGATACTCGCGCACGGTCGGAGTTCCTGCAGTCTCTTTGAAATTTCCTCGTATGTAAGATAATAAACTATCGGCACAGAAGCAATTTATTGAACGTCACTTATAATCATGTACACATTATAGATATCCAACACTTTTTTTAATAAAAAATATCTAATTGGCAATCAATCTTTTATCCACTGGATTGGCATGAATATATTATAAAAATATATTTGAATCTACGTCCTGGAAAAAAGATATAAATGGGTAATGAGTTCAAGCAATATTGATAGTTACTGTATTAAAAATCAAAGATAATACATATATGATAGTGATTCGCGTACATAACCGATAAAACACGTTTGTATATCTCAAGGATACAATACTGTTTCATAAGTTCGATGACCCGAAACCATGAAAAAGTTTAAGAGCACTGATGTTTGAAATACATATATTCGCTTGTGCATACCGTTAGGTATTTCCATACATGTATCACCAATTTATGTATATGTAATTTCAGAAATATTAAATTAATACAAATTTATGGATAGGCTAGACAACATAGAACAATTAGTAAATATTTTCTGACAGATCGTAGATAAACTATCGAATTGCGACTCGTGAAATTTTTCCGCGATCCTTTATTTGTGAAAAAAGCTCCGTGTATTGTATTTACGGTATATGCGATAAAGAAGTAAAGAAACGTCAAAAACTGATGACTATTATTTTATTCAGCATGTGAGTGCATTGTTAAAGAAAACTTTTAGTACCTCTGCCAAGGACGAAAGCTCATCACGCAATCTCGTGGAATGCCTGTATGGAGTCGTGAAACATTTACATCTTTACATACATATTATACGAAGGGTACGTGCATATAAGACCGCGATGCGCGTGTCTACGTGCGCTTACGATGGAGTAACGATATTTATTATATGTCGGCTATGAATTATGGGCCGTTAACTTTGCCTTCGTGACGCGGCCCTTCGCTCCGCGGCCAACCAGCTACACATACGAATCGCTACTCTGCCAGCAAGAAAAGAATTGCACACGTAGGTACCGTGTGCCTGGTTTATATTTGTTTCAATACGAGAAATTCACGTTTTATCTATAAGTGGCTCGTCCGTCAGAATTAATTGTATTGCATTAAACGAAACATCGGAACGGCGATTTCAAACACGGTCTCCGAAACGAAACGGAATAAAAAAAAACCGTGTCAAACTGTGGCAAGCGTAGCTTCATATTAGTGGTGCAACGAAATGCTTTAAAACAATTTGTAGACGTGTACACTTAGTTAAAACACAATACAAGAGATTTTTAAAACTTCGTCTGGACTGAGACGATTGTCTGCGGACTGTCTCGGATTTGTATTCCGTTTTCCATCATTTATGGACTATCTGCGTAGATTATCTGCTGGATAATGTTGGAAGACAAAATGAGCTTTAGTATGTAATAATGTTCGTGAGGCAGTACGTAATAATGCTCGCAGAGATTCAATGAAATTTGAATAGCTTTCACGGTAAATTTGTAAGACTTACAATTAGTAAAAATCGTGATATTAAACGCTCATTAACGTGAAAGCGCGAAAACGGAACCATCGTCCTACGTTTGTTTTAGGTTTACGTTTCGATTTTTATTTTCATTTTCCCCCTTTTAGTCTCAGGCCTTGCGTTCCGTACCTACTGGAGATTTCAATGGATGTATAGGCGATGTAACGATTCCATTCCTGAAGATTTAATATTTTTAAATATAGTTTTACTTACCTTACCTGAAAACTTACTTTTCAAGAATTTTACACATCACATGTAATATTACAGTCTTCAAATATTTCTATGAATTTACGTCATGTGTCAAATAAGAAATACACACTGAATGTTCACGGTTTTAATAACAGGAATGCATGATGTGGTTTATCGATCGGGATAAGATCAATGAAATCTCATACTCTGTGGTAACTCAAGTAAATATATACAAATTAAATGTAATTTGAGCGTCTTTTATTTTAATAAAATGATTTTTTCAAATGGTGACTCAAACTTAGTTTTTATTAACACCACACATTTCAAGTAAAATCGCACATACAGTCATATATAAATAGTTCTAAAGGTTGATAATTGATAATAAAATTATAGAACCAGGAAAGCATGTATTTTATAATTTTCGATAACAATATATAAATATAAATACATATTGTTATCAAATATAAATTGTTTTACTTGCTTCATTCACCATTTATATGCGCGCATCTACGATAATCAAAATGATATTCTCCGCTAATAATATAATTATATTACCTACACAACGATAGTAATAATTATTATCCTTGAAACTTTTACATACAAATATAGATTACAATTTGCTGTATGAAGTTTGAGATATCAATCAATGCTCCAAGTCTTAGCTCTGTTAAAAATAAACTCGCAGGTCGGCCATCGAAATAATTTTCATTTTATTTCTGGAGATTCTATTCGGGTACAATTCTTTTCGAAACCTGATAAAATCGCGTTACTAAAATTTAATAATCCACGTAATTGCTGGTACAATGTTGTACGTTTCGATATAAAATGTTAATAAGGATTTCCAATTTATATGGGAAAACTTCAGGCACCTAAGTTAGAATAGGATATAAGAAATAAATATTTCTTTTCTGAACGGTACACACATCCAAATAAATGTTAATTAATTATAATTTAACTAAACACACACGTTTAATTGGAATCTCAAAACTGGTATTCTTTATACCACAATTTATAAAAGTTCCCTTATGTAAAATATATAGATGTAATTTGTTCAACTAGCTATACTGTTCTAAATGCAAGAAATGCAGATATTGATGTAAGCAATAAATGGATTAAGTTTACTAAATTTATATGTGGCATGTTTCTTTGCTGTTATCAATATCAAGATTTCGATATCTTTTTTTAAAATGAATCGTTATGTACTTCAGTTTCACATAAATACTTATACATGATTCAGTGATGTCATTAATCAGCATTGACAAAAAGTCAATTTTCGATTAATGACATTTAGTAAACATGAACAAAATTTATTTATTGCCAAGAGTTGGTTTTCTAAACCATTACAAAATCTTTACCAGTGTTAGATTTCTCACTTTCCGAACCTTCACTACCTTCTTCACCTTCCATTAATTCAGGTGAGGAAAGCTTTTCTTCACTAGATGAAGCATCTTCAGTATGATCTTTATCTAATTCTCTGCTACTAGGTTTCTCATCTCTAAAAAAAAGTATTTAAATGTAAATGTCAACGTATCAATGAAAGATAAGTATAAATTGTAATTAAGTGCAACTTACACTTGTGTTTCTTCAGTATCAGAATCTTTTTCTTTCTTTTTCTTCTTTCTAACTTTTTTATCGTTTTCAGATGTACTACCGTAGTATTCATACTAGAAAGAAATTATTACATAAAATACATTCATCGTGCAATAAACAATCCGAACGTAATATATACCTGATAAAGTGGCCAGAATGAAGCGAAGAATCCAACGTCCGCTGTTAAATTAGGGAAAAGCCAGAGATGACATCTGCCAAGTGTTGGAACCCACAGAAGACAAAATACAATTAATCTAATAATTGCTAATGCCAAAATGAATATAAGGAACCCAGCAGCTGCAACGCTTATGTAATATACACCATGGCGAATTGTTAAAGGCCACAATGGGAAAAGACAAACACCAATTGCACCTAAAACTACTAGTGTTCCAAAAAACCAGTAGTATATGGGAATGGGTTCATATATCCAAACATAAGCGTCGTTGCAGTCAACAAAATATTGTTCCATATGCATTTCTAAACGTACCTAAAAGCAAATGTTAAGTTCTTAAATGTTTTGTTATTACATGTATGAAATTTATTTTGAAATTCTTTTGCTTAAGCTTACTTTTGGTTTTTTCTTTTTCTCTTCGCATTTATCGTCACTATCTTTGCCACCATCTCTAATTTCCTTAGATTCTTCTTTATTTTTTTTATCTTTTTTAGTTTCTTTAACTTTTTTCTTTATACCACGTATTTTACATAGTTCTTCCTCAGGAATTACTACTTTTTTTGCTCTATGGAAGAATTTATGTCGTAACATTAGGTCCAAGAATTCTGTAACCTGCTCACGTGTTTCAAATCTGGTTTTACTCCATGGTGAATTCTCCAATAAAGCAGCCACTGCACGAGAGCCAGTGAAATATTCAACATTGTGAATTCTGTCAAATTTTGTTTTCTTTGATGGTACATTGTTATGGATCCATTTGGCTACTGCATATTCTTCTTTGGATGGCTTGTCGTGGATCACTTCATTATCTACATTCGATGTTTCCTGCTTAAAAAAAGGATAAATATTAATTTCTGACATTCCTAAAACATGTCAAATTGACACCTCGGTTAAAAGATTTGACAAACTGTCAATTAAAAAGGTTTTATTGCACAATAAGATGATTGTGTATAATTGTAATTTTTTTATACTAAGTAAAAAAGACAGAGGAGATACAGTAAAAACTTGAACGCTACAGATAATCCAAAATATATCGGAATAAAATAAAATTAATCGTAGTAGTTTTCTACGTAAGGTATTCGTACTGTGAAAATAATAAAGTTTTATAAATAGTGAGTCCAAATATTTCAGTAAACAATAAATTTTTATTAATTAAAGTCAACTTTAAAAACTATAGAATAGCGAAGATGATCTCTGCTACGTCATCCGTTGAATTATGTTCAGACACTTATTCTTATTGACACGTGTTTTGACGTAATAAAACAAAACTTGTCGAACATAAAACCGTGCATTATGATTCCAGCCACCAAATAAACATTACAATTTACATATATTATTGAATAATACACCGATAATTCTAGCCATATGCGATGCTTACATCTTTGCGCTTCCTACTTTTCTTACGTTCCGCCATGTTGTAAATCCCGTTTTGCGCTTGCTCAATGCTGTCCAATTCTGTCATTCACAGCCAGGGTGGGCTCACTCAATTTTGCTGTTAACACAGTTTGCAGTGACATTTAGCGAGATGTATTAAAAGTATAATAAAGGCGGAATGGCGGGTACAGGCCAAAATTTAAAACACTGCCTACTAGGTGTGGGTTCATACGTATAGAAAAAGTACTTATGTGTGCGCGAATTTTACCTATATCAAGTCCTTCCCTAAGAGTATAAATCTATATAAGTTGCAGATAAGTTGATTCAAATTCAAAGTTGGATTCAAGGAAATAATATTTTATGTAAAGTTCTGAAAGAATTCAATGTTCAGTTTGCACGAATTATTAATACTTTCTACTTTCTGTTTCTCAAATGTGTAATGTAAAAACATGATAACATACTTGATATTGGTAAAGGAAAAACAAAGGCTACGTTTTCGCAAAATTCAACAAAAGATTCCTCACGATACTCACTCTGCAACGTTCCAAAACGGAAAGACTGGGAAAGACATTTTCCACCAATTTCCCACATCGGTAGGGCCCAGGGATCTCAAAATTTGTCTCTTGGTCGGAAAGTGGGGACGACGCGACCATGGTGGGGACTGGTACTTCATGAGGGCACTGCAGAGCTTTGACTATATATACAGTCAAAGCTGCGGAGAGCTTCGCGAAGGCGCATGAGGAGAATAGTAGTGTGGATTGAAATACGGGCGAAAAAGAGGGGAAACGAGCCGTGAAAATTCTGAGATCCCTGGTAGGGCCAGGTAGGAAACAGAAATCTGTTGTCCGTTTGCCATCCTTTGCTGATCCTTTGCAAGCGTTTTGGCGTCCTTCAATATCCTTCAATATACTTCGTACTATGGTATGAAACATTCGGAACAGGTAAAGATCCAACACGAGCACAATTAGTAAGACGAGCATGGCGGATGCCATTATTCGAGAAGGACAGTGCTAAATGAACGCTCTTCACTTTTCGCCATCCGAGCAAAGGCAGTTTCCTTCGATAAGAAAGACTCATGAAAAGTTCACCGAGTATCTCAGTCCCATCCTGTTC